TCATGCCCTCACCCCCTGGTGTCTGTGTCCATTGGTTAGGTTTATATGTATGCACACAAGTCCTTTGGTTGATCTCTCTCTCCCCCTTACCTTCCCTCTGAGGTTTGATGGTCTGATTGATGCTTCTCTGTCTCTAGATCTGTTTTGTCCATCAGTTTATGTTGTTCATTATATTCCACAAATGAGTGAGATCATGTGATATTTGTCTTTCTCTGACTGGCTTATTTCGCTTAGCATAATGCTCTCCAGTTCCATCCATGCTGCTGCAAATGGTAAGAATTCCTTCTTTTTTACAGCAGCATAGTATTCCATTGTGTGGATGGACCACAGTTTTCTGATCCACACATCTGGGCTGTTTCCAGATCTTAGCTGTGGTGAATTGTGCCGCTATGAACATAGGGGTGCATCTGTCCTTTCTGATGGGTGTTTCTGGTTTCTTGGGCTATATTCCTAGAAGTGGGATCACTGGGTCAAATGGGAGTTCCCGTTTTAGTTTTTTGGGGAAGCTCCGTGCTGTTTTCCACAGGGGCTGCACCCGTCTGCAGCGGGTCTCCTTTCAGATATGCGCCTTGGTGGGCTGTACGTTCAAAGTGCTCTGTCTTTCATGGCTGTGTCCCATTTGGCCATGCCACCACCTCCCAGTCACTGTGAGGGAAGCTCTCAGCCCTGGCTCTCCCGCGAGGGCCTGAGCAGCCGGCCTGGCACAGAGCCAGCACTGCACATGCTCCTCCCCATGTGATCATCTCATTGTGGTTCCCGATAGTTTCTAGGCACAGAAGTCACGTTTCTACCAAAGCCTGTAGTTTCTACTATCTCCTTGTTGCTCTTGGCAGTGGATTTGGAACTCTGGGATGTGCAAGCCTCTTGAATAATGCTTCTGTGAACATTAGGGCGGCGGCAGGTAAACCTCTAGGACATGGCACCCGGCTCAGACTCTGCCAGTAGCCAACAATCACGAGTCCTGGCCCTGACCTCGGGGCCCTGGCACAGAGCCAGCCGGCCCTGACTTCTCTCTAGCTCCATCCAAAGCGCAGGTTACAAGGAAACCTCATCCTGGGTTCCCTAGTACAGTTTCCTTTGGCCCTCAGGAATTTGAAAACCCTCAAACAATAATTTATCTCAGGCTAACTTACAAACAGTCATTTACATACATTCTTAATATATAAATTGGGAAAGAGAAATCTCCTGAAACGAAAAACTCATGGGATCAAACTTTGCACAAGCCAAAGATATGCTTTTAACCCAGTTAAATTCCTCAGCGCAGTGGCCTGTGGACCGGAGATTCCCGCTGAAACCACCTCTGCAGAGACTTTTCTCTTTTCGAGATGCTTTTCACGGTCACGTGATGTGCGCCGACCACCTGGGCAGCAAAACGCTGTCTGAAGGCCAGCATGCATCTCGGTAGAACCTCAGTGAAACCCTGAGGGAGACGTTCACTAACCCAGGAAGGGGAGAGGTGCAGGAACAGAGCTGAGGGGAGTTGCTGTTGGAGCAATGGAAGTGACAGGATGCGAGAATTTTTTTTTTTTTTAACTTTTACACATGTGGTTTTATTATCTTTTAGGTGTGTGAGTTTAGTCAATTAACTTTTTTTTATAGTTATTTCAATTAGATTCTGAGAATGTTTAAATCTTATTCATTTTGCAGTAATTTGCTTTTTCTAAACAAATTTTAGCTTTAATTAAAAAAAAAAACTATACACTGAGTTTTTACGATCAGAGATCTGTTTCTTAAATTGTGAAGTATTTGACACTTGTCTTAACAATTTTAAAAACCACGCACAGGAGAAAAACCAAGATGGCGGCCTAGGTAAGCACCTAAGCTGCCGCCTCGCACAACTATTTCAAAACAACTAAAAGACAGAATGGACATCACTCAAAACCACAGGAAAGCTGGTGGAGTGGGAAATCTACAACCAGAAAGAAGGAGAGAGGCTCACGGATCAGACTGGGAGCCGCGAAGCGCTGAGGTAGGGAGCAGTGTGCGTGGAGAGGAAGGGTGGCCAAGTGCCTGGCTGGTGGGAGGGGAAAGGAAGCCCCCACTTGCACTGAACTCTCTCTGACTGCACTGAACCCCAACCCCGGCCAAAACCCCATGGAGCCAGGCTCATACAGGTGGAGTCCGAACTGTAGAGAAAGGCACCTGGAGACTCAGACTGGGAGACTGGGGGAGCCGGGAGCCGCAGCGGGCAGGGTCTACAGTCATGCACGAGCGGAGGTTGCCATGGCCTCTCCATAGTGAAAGGAGTCGGAAGCTTCAGACTACAGAGACCCAACCCAATTCCGGCAAGCCCCTGGGACACCCACACTCTTGCACGGGGAATCTGGATGGTCAGGTGGAAACTCAGGGGAGCCTCGGAAGGCAGAGGTCAGGCAGAAACTCAGGCGAGTGCAAAAGGGCAGGGCTGACGGGAAGCCAAGACTGTCAGCTCAGCCCTGAGACTCTATCCCATCCAAGCCGAGCACAGAGGCTTTTGCAATTTTGCAAGTCTGATCCTATAAGACTGTCTCCAATACAGAAGGTATCCCAGAGTAGACACAGCTGATACTCACATCCAATGGGCCTGGAGGTCTATTCCTCCCAGTGATACCAACAACAAGGCTGTACATGCAGTTCACAAAGGGGAGCACCAACAGTGTCTACCTCAGATAACTGAGGAGGCTGACCCACCCGGCCATATAGGACACCAAACACACAAAGCCACCCTACCAACTCTGGGAAGCAGCAAAAATGCCGAGACAAGGAAACAGATCTCAAATGAAAGAGATGGAGGAGAACAAAAAACTGGATATAGAGTTCAAAACCATGGTTATAGGATTTTCAAGAATTTCCTAGAAAAGGCCGATAAATTTAATGAGATCCAACTAGAAATTAAACATAAACTGACTGAAAAAGAATATTATACAGAGATCCAACAGCAGACTGGAGGAACACAATAATCAAGTCAAAGATTTGGAATACAAAGAGGCAAAGGACACTCCTCTGGAGAAGCAAGAAGAGAAGAGAATCCAGAAAGTTGAAGATAGTGTAAGGAGCCTCTGGGACAACTTTAAGCGTACCAATATCAGAATTATGGGGGTGCCAGAAGAGAGAGAGCAGGACACTGAAAACCTATTTGAAGAAATAATGTCAGGAAACTTCTCCCACCTGGTGAAAGAAATAGACTTACAAGTCCAGGAAGTGCACAGAACCCCAAACAAGAGGAATCCAAAGAGGACCACCAAGACACATCATAATTAAAATGCCAAGGGCAAAAGACAAAGAGAGAATCTTACAATCAGTAAGAGAAAAGCAAGTAACCTATAAGGGAGCACCCATACAACTATTAGCTGATTTCTCAACAGAAACTATGAGACCAGAAGGGAGTGGCAAGAAATATTCAAAGTGACGAATAGTGAGAACCTACAACCAAGATTGCTGTATCTAGCAAAGTTATTCAGAATTGAAGGTCAGATAAAGAGCTTCACAGATAAGAAGAAGCTAAGGGAGTTCATCACCACCAAAACAGTATTATATGAAACGCTAAAAGGTATTCTTTAACAAGAGGAAGAAGAAGAAAAAAGATAAAAATTAGGATCAACAAATACACATATATCAACAAGTGAATCTAAAAATCAAGTGAATTAAAAATCTGAGGAACAGAATAAACTGGTGAATATAATAGAACCAGGGGCAAAGAAAGGGGGTGGATTGATAATTAACAGGGGGAAAGGGGGCTGGGGGGTGCAGGAAGAGGCTGGATTAAAATCATACACCTGTGGATGAGGACATTGGGGGGGGGGGGAGGCAAGTGCAGAGGGTGGGGTGGGAACCGGGTGGAAGGGAGCTATGGGGGGAAAAGAGGAGAAACAATTGTAATAATCTGAGCAATAAAGATTTATTTAAAAAAAATAAAATTAAAAAAATAAAAACCACGCACAAAACTCTGTATTTGATTCAGGAGTCCAAAGGTGTGCTCCCACTTTGCAATTCTCCCATCTCATCTAAGGAGGGTGGGTTTTAGAAGTGGAGAACCGAGACGGGGAGCTCGGGAGCAACCTGGACAGAATCCTGGGAGCCACCACTGCGAGTGGGAGGCGCCGGCAGGACGCAGTGGGCCTGGGTGACGGTGAGGCCGAGCCCGGTGACAGGGAGGCCGAGCCCGGTGACAGGGAGGCTGAGGCCGGTGACTGTGAGGCTGAGCCCGGTGACAGGGAGGCCGGGCCCGGTGACGGGGGAGGCCGAGCCCGGTGACGGGGAGGCTGAGGCCGGTGACAGGGAGGCTGGGCCCGGTGACAGGGAGGACGGGCCCGGTGACGGGGGAGGCTGGGCCTGGTGACAGGGAGGCTGGGCACGGTGACAGGGGAGGCTGGGCCCGGTGACAGAGGAGGCTGGGCCCGGTGACGGGGGAGGCTGGGCCCGGTGACGGGGGAGGCTGGGCCCGGTGACGGGGGAGGCTGGGCCCGGTGACAGGGGAGGCTGAGGCCGGTGATAGGGAGGCTGAGCCCGGTGACAGGGAGGCTGGGCCCGGTGACTGTGAGGCTGGGCCCGGTGACGGGGGAGGCTGGGCCCGGTGACAGGGAGGCCGGGCCCGGTGACAGGGAGGCCGGGCCCGGTGACAGGGGAGGCTGGGCCTGGTGACAGAGGAGGCTGGGACGGGTGACAGGGAGGCTGAGGCCGGTGACGGGGGAGGCTGGGCCCGGTGACGGTGCGGGAGAAGCGGGTACAGAGAAAACCTGGGCCCGGGCTGGCTTTGGGCAGAGGGAGGAGCCGCACAGGGACAGGTGCTGTCTCGGAGATGAACGTGATGTCCTCGGTGTGAAGCCGGAGAGGACGGCCCGGGCTCTGCTGCCGGGCTGGTGCCGGGGTGTCCGGGTTCCGGCCCTCAGGAGCTGCCGGGGTGTCCGGGTTCCAGGCCCTCGGGAGCTGCCGGGGTGTCCGGGTTCCAGGCCCTCGGGAGCTGCCGGGGTGTCCGGGTTCCAGGCCCTCAGGAGCTGCCGGGCTGTCCGGGTTCCAGGCCCTCAGGAGCTGCCGAAGGCGGAGAGCAGGTGCCGCTCCCAGGAGCCCAGCTCGGAGGCCACGTCCTCGGGGAGCGCGCAGGGGCCGCAGTGCTGGCCTCGGGAGCCTGGGTCCGAGGGCAGGCGGTTCACATCGACCTGCAGAGGCGGCTGCGGCTTCGGGCACAGCGCTCCGGGGCCGGGGCCGGTTCCGGTTCCGATGCTGGTTTCGGGGGCCGCGGGGTGGGCGAGGGGCGCGGGCCGGGCTGCGGGCGGCAAGGACTTCCCGCTCTGGCGCCGCGACTTGGCGCGCCGGTTCTGGAACCAAACCTGCGGGGGCGGGGCGGAGAGCGGGGGGCGGGGCGGTGAGCGGGGGCGGGGCGGAGAGCGGGGGGCGGGGCGGTGAGCGGGGGCGGGGCGGAGAGCGGGGGGCGGGGCGGTGAGCCTGGAGGGCGGGGCGGTGAGCCGGGGGCGGGGCTGTGAGCCTGGAGGGCGGGGGGCGGGCTGTGAGCCTGGAGGGCGGGGCGGTGAGCTGGGGGCGGGGCGGTGAGCCGGGGTGGATGGGGGTGGGCGTAGGGGTTAGGGGAGGCGGGGCGGAGAGCCCGGGGGCGGGGCGATGAGTCTGGGGGGCGGGGCGGTGAGCCGGGGGGCGGGGGGAGGCGGGGCGGAGAGCGGGGGGAGGGGGGAGGCGGGGCGGAGAGCCGGGGGGCGGGGGGGGCGGGGCGGAGAGCTCGGGGGCGGGGCGGAGAGCCGGGAGGCGGGGCGGTGAGCCGGGGGCGGGGCGGTGAGCCTGGAGGCGGGGTGGTGAGCCGGGGGTAGGTGGGGTGGGGGAAGGGGGGAGGGGAGGCGGGGCGATGAGCCGGGGGCGGGGCTGTGAGCCGGGAGGCAGGGCGGAGAGCCCGGGGGCGGGGCGGTGAGCGGGGGGGGGGGGGTGGGGGGGCGATGAGTGGGGGGGGAGAGGGGGCGGGGCGGAGAGCTCGGAGGCGGGGCGGTGAGCCGGGGGGGGTGGGGTGGGGTGGGGGTGGGGGTAGGGGAGGCGGGGCGGTGAGCCGGGGGCGGGGCGGTGAGCCGGGGGTGGGCAGGGTGGGGGGGAGGGGGGAGGGGAGGCGGGGCGGAGAGCCCGGGGACGGGGCGGTGAGCGGGGGGGGGGGGGGGGAGGCGGGGCGATGAGTCCGGGGGGAGGGGGGGCGGGGCGGAGAGCTCGGAGGCGGGGCGGTGAGCCGGGGGTGGGGTGGGGGTGGGGGTAGGGGAGGCGGGGCGGTGAGCCGGGGGCGGGGGGAGGCGGGGCGATGAGTCCGGGGGAGGGGGGGCGGGGCGGAGAGCTTGGGGCCGGGCTGCCCCAGGGCTTGTCCAGCGTCCCTGGGAACAGGCGGGCCCCGCCCCGCGGGACCGGACAGAAGCTTCACGGAGTCTGCGAGGGAGACCTGCTGTCGCAAAGGCGACAGGTGCCCACGTCACGCAGAGCCCAGCTTTAAGGTGCGTGAGTCGGGGACGGGGTGCCCGGTGGGCGTCCCCTCCTCTCCCCGCAGGTCCTGCGGGCGCGCCGCTTGGGAAGCCTCTCCCCCCCCCCCCCCGCCCCGCGGGGAGCGCTCCTGTCGGAGCCGGAGGCTCAGCCCCGGCCCCGGGCCCCGGGCCCCTCCGGGTGAAGCTCCGATGCGCCTGGACCAGAATCTCAACTCGTGACCCGCTCAGCGTTATCCCCAAACGCCACGTCTTCGGCCGCGGATTCCAGACGAGGCCCCGCCAGGGAGCGGCCGGGCCCGCGGGGACCTGGCCTGTCCCCGGGGAGCCCCGCCTGTGCCCCAGGGAAGGTGCGGGGCTCCCGCCGCCCGCGCCGTCACACCCACACTCAGCCCCTCATCCCGGCCCCACGCCCTGCCGCGGGGGTGCGGACAGTGCCCGGTGGCCCCGGACGGGGCCAGGGCAGCCACTGCCAACGCCCCGGGAGGGGAGCGGCCGCGGCGCTGCCGGAATCCCGCCCCCGCCGCGCCCCTCACCTGGACCCGGGCCTCGGGCAGCAGGGTGAGCGCGGCCAGGCGCTCGCGCAGCTGGATGTCGGGGTACGCCGTCCGGCGGAACACCAGCTCCAGGAGCCGCAGCTGCTCGGGCCGGAACGCCGTGCGCTTGCGGCGCTGCGACGCGGGCGGGGCGGCCGGGCCTGCGGGGGGCGCCGGCGGGCCCAGGCGGTCGGGGGCCGGCGCGGAGGGCCCGGGGCCCCGGCCGGGGAAGCCGGCGAAGGGGGCGGGGGCGCAGCGGGCCGGGCCGGGGAGCAGGGCGGCGGCGGGGCCCGGCGGCGGCGAGAGGGGCCCGGGGGGCGCGGGCCGGGGCGCGGGGAGCCGGAGCTGGCGGGACCCCGCCGCGGCCATCGCTGCGCCCTGTGCCTCGCGGGCGGCGGCGGCCCCGGTTATAGGGCCGGGCCGGGGCGGGGCCGCGGCGGGCGATCAAAGGGGGACAAGGAGGTCGTGGCCCTCGGGGTGCGAGCCTGCGCGGCCCTGCCAGACGCCGGGGAGCGATCGCTTCCGCCGACCGCGGGGGCGCGAGGGGGGCGTGAACCGGGCCCGGAGCCCCCGCCGCCCGGCCCGCAATCCACATCCGGGGGGTTTGCCCGGAGGGGGGGCCCGCAGCGGGCAGAGCATCCCTCGGGGCCCGGCCCCGCCCCCTCCCGCGGGCATCAGAGGCGCGTTCACCCCCCGCCACGTGCCAGACCGACCCGGCTGGTCAAACAGCCCGCCCGCACCCCCACCTGCCGGCCGGGTGCAGGCGAGGGGCGGTGACACCCGCGGAGGGCGCCCCGCTGGCCAGGCTCAGGTCCGGAGGCGCAGGTGGAACCGGGGGGCGCGGTCACCCAGCAGCACCGGCCTCTCGGGGCGCCCGGTGACGCCCCAGGAGGTCCCGGGAGGACGGGGAGGCTCCGGGTGTCCGCCCCCCCCGCTCCCCCGCCGGCCCGGCCTCCTGGAGGGTCCGTCTGGCCCGGAGGAGGGCGGGATGGTGTGCGCTGCGCCCCCTCCTGGGTGGTCAGGGGTGGAGGCCGGGCCCGCTCCGCTCAGCCCGCTGTAGCCGACCCGCTGCGGGGAGGGAGGCGCCCACCACCTCCTGCTCCCAGAACCTGAGCCCGATCTCCCCGCACCATTCGCTCCCGTGGGCCTCTGTGGGAGGGCCTTTCGGGTCCCCGTCCCAGACTGTGACCCGGGCCCTGCCCCGCCCCCAGGCTCGGAGAGGCAGCCTGACATCCCGCCTGTTGCTCCCCCATCCCTTCCCTCCTCTTCCTCAGCCTCCCCTGGTGACGGGGACGTTCAGGCAGAAGGCGGATGGGAAGGGAGCATCATTCTCTCATCTAAGCACACGCTGGTTCTGAGTGTCCCTGTGCTGGGCTGTGCCCATGGGTGTTTCTGTGAATTCGGTATTTGTGCCCCTCCCCCTTTTAAAGTGAATTTATTTAGTTATATGTCAATCTTCACTTGATACTTCCTATTGATTTATTTTTAAAAAAACCACCCATATATTTATTTATTTATTTATTCCAAAGAGTAAGGGAGAGAAACATCAATGATGAGAAAGAATCCTTGATTGGCTGCCTCCTGCACACCCCACACTGGGGAACAAGCCCCCAACGCAGGCTGTGCCCTTGGCTGGAATTGAACCCCGGACACTTCAGTCTGCAGGCTGATGCTCTATCCACTGAGCCAAACCAGCGAGGGCCCAAAAGCACTGCTGAGTCCCCTTCATGTCAGATAGGTGAGGCCCTGTTCCTCTGCAGTATGTGTATGTGTGTGTGTGATTGTGTGTGCGTGTGAGTGTGTATGAGTGTGCATGTATGTGATTGTGTGTGTGAGTGTGTGTATGTGAGTGTGTGTGATTGTGTGTGCATGTGAGTGCGTATTTGAATGTGTGTATGTGTGTGTATGTGTGTGAGTGTGTGTATGTGTGTGTATGTGATTGTATGTGTGCGCGCACGTGTGTGTGTGTGTGTGTGTGTGTTTCAGGCTCATTAGGTTCCCAGTCAACTGTGGAGCAGACCTGGGCAGACCTGAGTTCTGTTGCTATAGTGATGGGACCCGGAAGCCAACCCCGGGGGAAGCCAGAGGGGTTGGCTACGGGCTGCCAGCTGAGGTTTCCCCATCAGGGATGGTCCAGCAACCCAGCAGCTCTGCCAAGGGTCAAGGGTCACAGATTCTGCAGCCCGTTTGGGGATCCCCAGGCCCCCGGCCAAGTCTCACCGCTCCGCTGTGCTCACTGGGGCGCCCCCAAACACGGACCTGCCAGCCGGTGAAGGCCTGGCCACACCTGGGCACTGGAGATGGTTTGGCAGGAAATATCTAACTAAGTGTGAACGACAGTGTCTCTGTCTTTTAAACTGGTGATAAGAAACCCCAGCATTTTCTTTGTGGCATAATAATTACCCAAAGGAACTACACAGCATGTTTTTTTTAAAAATATATTTTATTGATTTTTACAGAGAGGAAGGAAGAGGGATAGAGATGTTGATGAGAGCCAAAACTGGTTTGGCTCAATGGATAGAGCGTCAGCCTGCCGACTGAAAGGTCCCGGGTTCAGTTCCGGTCAAGGGTATGTACCTTGGCTGCAGGCACATCCCCGGTGGGGGGTGTGCAGGAGGCAGCTGGTCGATGTTTCTCTCTCATCGACATTTCTTTCTTTAAAAAAAAAAATAATAATTATATATATATATATATATATATATATTATTGATTTTTCACAGAGAAGAAGAGAGAGGGATAGAGAGTTAGAAATATCTATGAGAGAGAATCATCGACCAGCTGCCTCCTGCACACCCCCCACTGGAGATGTGCCTGCAGCCAAGGTACATACCCTTGACTGGAATCGAACTCAGGAGCTTTCAGTTTGCAGGCCGACGCTCTATCCACTGAGCCAAACTCGTTTCGGCTGCACAGCATGTTTTTATGGCTTTTCCTGGGAGTGGGTGGCATTATAATCTTCGACATTGAAACAGACCTTACTCCTCTCTCTTCCTTTCGCTGAAAGTGAAGTTTTAATCGTGTGTGCTTGTGTGTTCCTGGCCAATTCGCGTGGTGAGGGAAGAGGTGGAAACCCAGGGCTGGGATTCGAGTGAAGGGTTGAGAGAGACGCTTTATTTTATTCCCTTTGATGCTCCTTTATTGTTATTTTTATAAATATATTTTATTGATTTTTTACAGAGAGGAAGAAAGAGGGATGGAGAGTTAGAAACATCGATGAGAGTCATTGATCAGCTGCCCCTTGCACACCCCCTACTGGGGATAAGCCCACATCCAAGGTACATGCCCTTGACCGGAATCGAACCCGGGACCTTTCAGTCCCCAAGCCGACGCTGTATGCACTGAGCCAAACCAGTTTCGGCCTTTATTGTTATTTTTAATCCTATGTATGTATTTGTGTTAGAAGTGCATTTTTAAAACCTAGTTTTTTGAATGATTCTCTCTCATCATTGATGTTTCTATCTCTCTCTCCCTTCCTCTCTGAAATCAATAAAAATATACTTCTTTTTAAAAGGACATTAGAAAACTGATGAAATTTGGATTAAAAAGAAACAATTTTTATTTTTATTTATTTCTTTTTAAAATATATTTTATTGATTTTTTACAGAAAGGAAGAGAGAGGGATAGAGAGTGAGAAACATTGATCAGCTGTCCCTTGCACACTCCCCATTGCGGATGTGCCTGCAACCAAGGTACATGCCCTTGACTGGAATCGAACCTGGGACCGTTCAGTCCTCAGGCCAACACTCTATCCACTGAGCCAAACCGGTTAGGGCAGAAACAATTAATTTTCAAAAACAAGAGCAGAGGAAGCAACGCAATGAACCTGGGTATTAGTGCCCGGCTGGCCGGTGTGTCCCGGGATGAGTGCCGGTCAGGGCACATGCTCCATCCCCAGTGGGGTGTGCAGGAGGCAGCCAATCTGTGCCTCTCTCTCCCTCTCCTTCCTCTCTGAAATCAATAAAAATATATATATTTTTTAAAAAGGGCACTAGAGAGAAAACTGGTGAAATCTGGATGAAGAAGAAACAGTGAATGTTTAACAACAGGAGCAGAGGAGGCAACGGAATGGACCTGAGAAGAGAGGTTGCTTCCCCCGTGCGGGTGGGACTCAGGCGGTGAGCAGTGGCTCCCCGGATGGATGTGAGCCCCGGCAGGTCCCGCGCTCTGAGGCGTCCCCCCAAAACTCAGTTAGCCCCACTCCCCGGGAAACCGGCGCTCTTCCCTGCACGCACCTCTAGGTTCCTCCCTCCTTTCCCTGCCGCCTGCGAACAGCCAACAGCTTGTGGCTTCTTCCCTGTCTGCATCCCACGTCCGACCGCGGAGAGAGCCCAGCCCTCGGCGACATCCTAACCAGCAACGATCGCCGTTATCCGCCCAGAGAGAGGCGCTGTGGGCTGGAGCGCCTCCCCCAGAGGCTCCTGAGAGCTTTCTCCCGCCCCGAGAGCCAGCGCGGCTGCAGAGGAGCCTCTGAGCCTCGGCGGCCCTCGCCCACCGGCCACCGGCTCGCCCGCCCGGCTTTGCTTTTGGCCAGAATTTGTGCTCGGTCTGTGGTCCCGCCCGTTGGAATGGACGCGGGGGAGGCGTGATGAGATAGAAGGCAGCCTCAGAGCGGCTTTCTGGGTGAGGAGGGAAGGCCAGGAAATAGAAGTCAAGGAATGGGGGGGGAGGGGGGAGATGATGGCAAATATGTGATACCTTAATCAATAAAGTAATAATAATAATAATAAAAAAGATGCATCGAGCCCTAGCTGGTTTGGCTCAGTGGATAGAGCGTCGGTTTGGGGACTGAAGGGTCCCAGGTTCGATTCCGGACAAGGGCACATGCCTGGGTTGTGGGCTCCTTCCCCGGTGAGGGGCAAGCAGGAGGCAGCCAGTCAATGATTCTCATCATTGATGTTTCTATCTCTCTCTCTCCCTCTCCCTTCCTCTCTAAAATCAATAATATATATTGATTAATAATATATATATTTAAAAAGATGCACCAGAAGGCAGCAGCTGGAAAAGGAACAGCACTGGCTGGTGCAGCCTGCGAGGCAGAGCCATTGGGGCCGCTGGCCGCTTCTGCTCCTCATTTCCCACCAGGTCCTGCCTCCCCGAACCTCTCTAAGCGCCTCCCCTCCCCTCTCTAAGTGCTAAGTACCCGCTTCCCGGCCCCTTTGTTGCTGGGGAGCCCTCGCACCCACAGCCCGGCGGTGAGCCGGTTGTTTATTGGAGAGAAAACCGGGGAAGGCGGCCCAGGGAGCCAGGGCTCCGCTTTCCCGTGAGCCCGGCCGCAGCCGCTCCCCTTTGATCCGCCTCGCTTTGATTTGTTGCTCCCGCCCGGACCCCGCGCCCACAGTGTATTTCAGATCCAGGGTCACAGGAGACTG